ACATTTTTCTCCTACGTGCGATAGTGGCCCGTCCGGTCCAGGCTAATTTGGACTAAGATTAAGAGTAGTAGCTTATTTGGCTTAAATTAACTGCTTAACGCGTATCACATGTTCGCTTTTACCAAAAAGTTCATACAGTTGTCGGAAGGCGACACCTGACGGATCCGAAAAAGGGGCTTCCTCGTTTCGGAGGCACCATAGGGCAGTTCACGTGACCTGTTTGATCTTGGCAGTAAACAGTCCAATTTAAAGGCGATTCGGAATATGCGCGTGAGCTAGACTGGAGTGTGTGAGACTTTTACAGCATGGGCCTCGCTGTTGTTGCCAAACCTGGTCATGTGGTGAGACTGAATCAACAATTCGGGCGAGGAGACAGAGCGGTCCCATCCACACGTGCAATCACTTGTGCATCTGCCCTAGAGCACTGGAACAGATTCAGCGGCCAACAGAACAACTGAACGACATTCTGGAAGATTGTGCAACGGTTGGTTGGACTGAAAACGATACTGACTGTATATGTACAACAGACGTCAACTGCTACTGGGGGGCTGTGAACAGTAAAGTCACAGAGCAGAGTAACTTGTCGCCAGAATACAGTGTGGAGTAGACACGGATACGCAAACAACAGTTGGACAGCGAGGTTTGCTTCCCTGAAATTGAGTAATTTCCAGGTTTAACCCTATAATTCTCGTCTGACAAAGAAATTTACCTTACTACTATCACGATGGTTCGGTCGTAGCCCAACGAATTTTGACAGGACCCGCATGCATTTTTGACGGATTTTTCGATGATGCTACCCGAGTAGACCAATCTATACAAACACAGTTCGTAAAAGAAATTCTATTTGTATATAAAAATATGACAATACATTTTCCTAAGATAAATCCAGAAGGAAAAGAGGTTCGAATAAACAGACGCCTAAGAAGTTGACAAGGCGCCTTGGAGAGGCAGATTGACACGCTGAACAGTGCTCGAAGCCTTGGATGGTGATTGCGGCATCAGTTCAGAACAGCGTTTTAGAACAGCTTCGGTCGAAATACTCGGTCCGGATGCGTCCTGTAATGCAAATCATTGGGGGATTTTAGATGAGAAAACAATGACAAACAATGAAAAACAAAGAATCGTAGGGTTTATGCAGAAGAAAACTTTGAAGGTTTTAAAAACCGGACGAACAGAAACGTGTCGAACAAAGCCTCTACAAGGACGATAATTCGGTCGTCAATACAACTGAAATTGCAAGCTCCAGGAATTAATTGGGAAAACACAGATGCTATTCGCTGGAGGAATAACATTTTTCGCCTGACGTTACAGATTCCGTCACAGATCCATCAATATCTGTTACTGTTTCTGATGATAGGTCCGCAACGGAACCTGATTCGTCAAGCGAAAAGCGTTATTGTCTCCGCAATGGCATTATTTTCTACTCAATACGTTTGTCGTAATCGATCACAACAATAACAGCACCAGGGAAAGGGCAGTGATGACATGCATGGAAATGGGTGATAGCACGGCAGACATCTGCAAGATCGAGTTAACTCCCTTCTCTCACACTAAATGTTACAATGAAAAGACAAAATATGTAAATCAGTATAAACGCAGTGACCGTCCTGGTAGGAAGTTTAACCTACGCGTG